GGGGGGGGCGACTTTTAATCCTTCACTTGATCATAACACAGCAAAACTAGGTTTGGATGCCCTGTTAGACATGGTAATTACACATATCTGAGTAAGTGAGGCACTAGTTTGTGTATTTTTAGACACTTGCCGAGGCTGCTTTTTCAACATTTCATTTTTATATAAGTCTGTGATTACTTACTTACTGCGTTGCATCTGTTTACAGTTATTTATTCATCTGCTGGGACTTAAATTTAGCTGCTCTGGCGAAATGATGGTTTCCACTGGGGTTTTAGCTACCATCAGAGGATCTCTGGTTTCATATGAAAGTGCTTCCCCCTATGGACGACTGTCGGTACTACAGGAAACACATTTGGTCTCCTAATTGTGCTCCAGCTCCAGCATGCGTGATATGGTTGACTGGGCTTGTTGTTCTATTCTGTTTTGTTAGTACAGTTTCGTTGCCATCTGAAATGCTTTTGCAGCTGAGAATCCACCAAGATGCCCCTCAGGAAAAATAATAATATTATATATTTTTTTAAATGTTGTTTATTCATAAAGGAAAGAATCCTATTAGCAGAATCAAAGCGTGGCTAGGCTGAACAATAGCCTTTAGGAAAATATAATTAGGGCAAGGTTAGCTGAGGCTACCTAGTCTCATTTCCTCCAGTATCCTCTTTTATTAGTAGCTTTTCCAGATTTTTTACCTCTGGTGAGGGATTTAAGTTGATTTATATCCATATCCACATGTTGAACAGCCTTTGTATCTGAGTCTACTGACATACACATACAGACAAACACACACACACACACATACACACACACAGACTCATCCCAGATGGAGACAGGCACGGATTAGTGAAGATTTTACTTCATTTAATAAACAATTGAATGACACAGTTCTGAGGATAAACCTGCTCAAAGAAGCACAAGAATAGTCTGGACTTAGAAGACTACAGGTTATTATCGCGCTTCATCACAAAATCTCCGTGTATCATTCAGAAATGCTGTTTGCATGCACTGCTTCTGCAAGCTCTCTGCAGCAATTCATAGCAAAAAGCGACCTGCAGAAAAAAGCTGGTCCTCTCTAATTGGGCCTTTTGTACACGTTGTATTTTGATCAGCATACACTGAGCATGTGACCATTTAGAGAAGTCGGAGATACGCCACACAGCTGCATCACAAACAAGACCATTTATGTAATAATATTACACAATTGTTGCAGCACGTACATATTGCTTTATTGATGGGCATGACAGTAAAGACGATAGCTGGTGGAAATGAAATCAGAGAGCTAACAGGATTTGCGAGGGAAAAATCTATGTTTCAGATCTGAAAATAGATGATTTCGCTGTACCCTGGGCTGCTGTACATTACCAATCAAAAACAGGCTGATCTGACGGCTGATGTGGGCATGGCGGTGGTGATGATGATGGCGATAAAGATATTAATCTCATGCACACATGCCCAATAGATGGCTTTACTCCTCAACATGGCTGGCACGAGCAAATGAGGAACAAACAGGAAGAATGTTTTCCTTTCGTTTACATGTCACAGTATAAATCACAGCTTTTGACATGTTTACATGTGTTGATGAAAAATAAAAGCAGGGTAGATCTCCCCTCAGTTGGTGACGTCCCTTTTATCTACAACCAACACTGTGTCCGCATTTTAGCATTCAATATTTATGCGATTAGATGCCAACAGATGATGAGCTTCAGTTTGAGTATGAATGAGCAGCTCTGCTACATCTACTAATTGTAAGCGTGCCTCTGTAGGATTGATACATTTAAGGGTCTTATTAGTTTCAGTACAGCCTACTGAAAGGTCAAGGTTCACCTGTGTATTTGCACATTCACCCAAAGGGAGATCAAACTACACTGCCCCTCATGTGCACCACGTGATCGCAATCCAAAAAATCCACCCGACATAAGAGGTGTTAGGGTTGGATGCAGGAGTCAAGTTGCTTTCTGCCTTGAAAAATATTTTTTAGATAATTTTCTTCTATCTAATGTTTCTGATTGCATCATTTGCAAACAGGTTCAGCTGAGGTCACCCTAACCCCGTAACCACCCCACAGTTTTGTAATTGAAAAGCCTACATGTTGCTGTGATGATCGTGACCCTGGTATTGGTGGGAGAAATGATCGTGTGTTACATCATATCTGTGTACAGCTGAGCTCTTTTGCTCACATGAGGTGAGAGGATTGAGTCTGAGATTGTTGAGGGATTAGTCAGAAAGACTTACCAGATTCAGAGATTGAGAAATTAAGGGATAGGAGCACCACACTTGCGGGGTCACATTGTCCCAGGAGGAAAAAAGAAAGCACTGAGTCACTGCAGGAAAAAGTGCATGTGAAAAAAAAACAAAACCAAGTTCTGTTTCATTTTTTGGTGCTTTATACATGCACACACACTTTCCTCCTTTTCATCTGTGCCCACACCACCACCCTCTGACTAATTCTCCTGCCCCTGCATGGCTTCACTGTGGGAGAGAAGGAAGGCGTGTCTGCATGAACAGATGTGGGGATCTCAGCTGGATGTCTATGGATCATAACGCTGCCTCCCATTCCTCTCTGCTACGCCCTGCCATCCATTTGAGCGCAGGAGGGACACTTTTCACTGTTTCATTTGCAGCATTTAAAGGATATAGCAGCAGTGGGTCTTTTTCACGTCCTTGGCTTTAGTTTTTAAAGCAAGCTCCAAACTGGAGACTCAGACGGAGACCAGCTGCTGGGATCAGTTGATCCAGCTTCAGGTGTCTGGTTCGGGTGACTGGGCACCCTGTGAGTTCAAAAAGATCTCTTTTGTGTTATCGTTTCCCACAACCTGTCTTCATATCACCATGACTGCTTCATTATCATCATTCCACCTCCGTCGTTTCGTCTTTGGTTTCTTTTCTATGTGCAAATGTATTTAAGAGTTTAAGAGGAAGCATTTTCCAACCACATCAGCTTCATCCGAATGTTAACAGTAGTGAGATAGTGGACACTTGTAAATATGACTTTTGGTTGATGAAATTAGTTTGAGATAAGCCAAAATTCTACTTTCTTTACCTCTTAAACCTGTATCAGATGCAGATGAAGAACCAAATATAGCGTTTTAATTTGCATCTTAACAATGAAACATTGCTGGTGGGTGGTGTGTGTGTGTGTGTGGGGGGGGGGTCAAACGAGTGAAAAGAAAAGCGTTAATATCCTCCAATAAAAATAAAGAGTTACAATTTTCATGTATTGATACGAAGGGTTAAGTTTGTTTTTCTCCTTCACCATTTGCTCGTTTCCCATGCAGAACAGTAGAGACTTAATCTACTGTAGTGTAAATCTTTTATGAAGACTAAATTTGAGAATTTAGAGGCTGGGTGTGTGGTGATTTAGATCTTTGTTGATTTGGCAGTACTAATGTCCGCTTGTTTTGCCATACATAATAACTTAAGAGATACTGATTTAAATTAAAATTGTCAAGAGTGCTCAGATCAGAGAAACTAGAGTAGTAATCTCCACCTTCTGCAATGTTATCATTGAGTTTTTACTACATATGAAGATGTTACAATGAAGCCATTAAGTCATTTGACAATTTTAGTTATTGTTTTTGTGCTGTTCAAAAGTTTTTATGCCGCTAATTTTGGTTCATCCAGTTTAAAGAACGATGAGCATACGCCACTTATGCCACCGTTTACTAGTCCTCCTGTTCTAGTCGTGGCCAGATTTTAGTGAAACTTACTTAAAAATACACAAGTTGTGTTCAAGGTCAACTCACATTTGTCAAATGACGGGCAATAACCTGGGAATTGTGAAGGATCATGAGATGGATGAGCTGCTACGTCTCTGATGTTCTGGTTTCCTGAGTAGTTCTTTTCATATTGCAGATCAAAACAACTGCTACGAAAAAAGATGGTTAATATCACTCAACTAATATCTCTTACATGGCCATGACGATGGCAGACATTTACAGAACAAAAACAAAAGAAAACGGATTATTGAGATTCAGACAACTTAAAATAGAATCAGGGTGATTTTTATACCAAAGTATTATTAAAAATTATTGCTTCAGCTTCTTATATCAGTGAAAGTCAGTGCTGCTTCTCTCTTCTTAATATTATTATGTGAATATCTTTGATATCTTCCATGACTGCAAAATAATGATCTCTTGTTGGAGCCCTGCAAAAAATGGATTCAATCTAATCCCCAGAAATAAGTCGAATAAAACAAACGCAAAAGTTAAACTGACTTATTGTGTTGCCATAGCAACCTGGCTTTCTGCAAAAAGCAGTCAAGGCTGCTGTTCAGCTGCTCCGTCGAGGTCATGATAAGAAGTGCTTTTTAAACCCTTGTTATCACTGTTTGGGTTCCAGGTGACACAACGAAGGTGGAGTTCCCCAGAAAAGAGATGGAGGTGGTACAAGGCCAGATGGTGGTGTTACAAGCGTGGTACAGCCCCAGCGCAGACATTTCCAAAAACTCTGCCATTTGGTACTTCTCTGGGAACGAGTCCAAGCAGGTGAGAAGGGAACAGCCGAAGCAGTGTAACGTTGTGCTGAATAGCTGCTCTGACCTCTGGTGCAAAGACAATCGAGAGCCTCTTTAAAGGGATTAGAGTAAAGTACGGTTTGCTGGTTGGTTCTCTGGCAAGCGCTACAGAAGCTTTACATCTAATGCAAAAACTATTAGAGCTCAAACAACGAACTGAACCACTTTGCGTAGATTATTTTCTATTATACAATATCAGTTTAAAGACTGTATTTAAAGCTGTGTTTAGATCTTCTTATTGTTTAATTTAAGCAAGAGGAAGAGAGTAATGTTGCATTGCATGACAATGTTACATTCTGACTCACCCATAGAGATTTGTAAAACATGTTGATATGTAGAGATTAGGATTTGTTCTAAAGCCACTGTCTAATTCATAGTGGAAGGAAGAAGGGGAGGGCGTTAGGAAGGACAATATGCCTCTAATGACACTTGAGCCCTACATTGTGCTGTACCTGTCTTACATAGCACACGCTGCTAGTGAACTTGCACATGCCTGCACATGCACTATGTTTGTGTGTGTTTATATGATTAATATTATCTAAACAGTTTCCGATGCCTGTGAGATTATCTCAAACAGAAAATCAGGCTAAAATTCAACATCCACCATCTGTAGATGCCAGGATTATCTTTATGAAGGACATGGTAATCTGCACATCTTAATATCAGGCAGAATTCAAAAAAATTTTCATTTGAATGAAATAATCCATATCGATGTAGTGATGTCTGTGTTTCTGTGGACGTGTTCTCTCCGTGCAGGTGATAAACTTTAGCTCAGGTGAGGTCGGACACGGTCAGAACGAGTTCACAAAAAGAGTGGGCTTCAGTGTGGCCATGCCCTCGGCCAACCTCTCCATCTACATCAATAACACCCAGGAATCCGACTCTGGTCGCTACACGTGTATTGTCATCATCCCCGGAGCTCCTGGCATTTCTGGGGAGATGAGCCTTAATGTCAAAGGTAATGGTCCGCAGCGTCAGAGGAATTTCAAAGGTTAGATGTAATCAGAAAGTCTGCAGTGCAGCTCACACACTTCCTCGGATTTGGAAGTTCAGGCGAAGTAAATGCTAAGCATATTTTAAAGGATTTAGGATTAGACCAGTCTGTCAAAAATCATATATTTATATGAGAAAGCACTGTCCACATAAAACTCATCTGCTGTTTAGGGATTCGCTGGGCTCTCAGGTTGTTATGTCATCCTCCAGCAGCAGATTGAAACGTACTTTTTTTTTGCGGCGTGGCTACTGCCCTGAGACATTTCCACATTGCTGGCGCTGCATTACAACTACCATAGAAGTTCACTAAATGGGGCTGCTGGTGTAGCTTCTTATCGCACATGTTTTAAATCACTAACATTATCTGTCCCTCTGCCCAGTCCCTCCTTCTCCCCCAGTGTGCACCATGACAGGGAACCCAGTGGTGAAGGGCAATGTGACTCTGAGCTGTAAGTCCAGTCATGGAAAGCCTGTCCCTCAGTACAAATGGACCAAGGCTGCACCGATGTCTGAGGTCTTCTTCTCTCCAATGCAGAGTAAGTATTTTCCCAGCACGCAATGCCTAAACTTAAATTACTCGTCCCCCCTCCTGCCTGCAAAAACAACTCTCCACCCACTCCATATTTGCTCACTTGATGTCATGTTCATCCTTTCAGGTTATGTTTGCCCAGGTTTTGCATCAGCACTGAAAAAAAAAGTCCCCATCGAGCAGTGTGCTCTGGTGATTATACAAAGACTGTAAGGACCTGTTTCACAGGTGTCATACTGTGGCAGGAAAAAGCACACTGATCATTTCAGGTTCCTGCTGTTGTTGCTAGTTTGCTGTGGTGTTTCACTGATGCAACTGATGGAACAGAGCCATCCTTAAAGAAGCTGGTTTCACTTTGGCTTTACCTCAGCAACATGGGTTCAGAATGTCTCCCATTAAAGATGAATGTCTCAGAGGTAAACATGGTAATACCTGAGCAAAAGTGTTTTTATTTCTATTATTCATTAACTTAGTGTTTCACAACAGGAAGAGTTATTCAAACTAATTTCCAGAAAGAGTTATCATACTGAGAATACAATAGGATAGCGGAAACTCTTCCAGTATGTTGGACCAGGTCACTTTCCATATTCCGCTTAATTTTCTGACTGTAAATCTCTATATGCGTTTTCATGCTGTGTCAAAAATGAAAGACCAGAGGAATTCATAGCCTTATAGAAACTGTGCAGCAGTCAAAGACAAGAAGGGAAGAGCAAGTGCTTTGATGCCCTTTTCCCCAGTATTTTGCCTCTCAGCCATCACACCAAGGTGTTTGGGTTGTTTGAAGCCTGAGAACAGGAGAACAGGAACTAAACAAGACCAAAGAAAAATAGCCTCTGCTTGGGTTTAATGTTATCCTGAGACTTTCAAAATAATATCATTATTAATCATAATCAATAAGTCAGCTATTTAACAAAAACTTTGAATTAACTGTTGAGGAATTACAGATATTTTTTATAGTCTCCCATTTTCAGAGGATCAGAAGCTGTGTTTCCTCCCTTAAGATGCTCTGCTAAGCCGTTACTGCTGCCACCTTCAGTTGTTGCTTGTTTGCACCTCTCAGCCTCACATTTATTTTCTATACCCAATTTCGTTGCCTTGAGATACTCTTGGGATGCTTTTGCAGTTTGCTTTTGGTCATCATCCATTCGCACTTTACTGCCTGATCAGTTTTGCAGCATTTGGCTGAATTTGAGCAGAGAGTGTAGCAGCAGTCACATCATCAAAAAACAATAGTGACCCAGTTCCACTGTCCACCTTACATGCCCACGATATAACCTTGTCTCCACCATGTTTGACAGATCATGTGGCATGCTTTGGATCATGAACTGTTTCTCGCCTTTTCCATATTTTTATTTTCCTGTCATTCTGGTACAAGTTAATCTTGGTTTGATCTGATCAAGGAGGGTTTTTTTTTTCTGTTTTCAACCATGGAAATAATTCTGTCGTCATCCACTTTAGTTGTTTTCTGTAGTCTATGGGCCTTTTGGTCTTGGTGAGCTGATCAATTTGTTTCTTCTTTCTTTCTTAAGATTGTACCAGATTGTTATTTAGTCACTCCTGAAGCTTTCGCTGTCTGATGGGTTTATTCTGATTTTTCAGCCTCTCCCACTTTTCCTGAAATCTCTTTGGGCCTCATGTTTAAAATCACCATGAAAAGCTATAAGATATAAATTCAAGACCTTGAAACTTCACATATTACATCTGCTTTGTTTCATGAAATAACAAGAAATCAGCCATAAAACCGCTTGATGGAATTGATGGAACTATTTTAAGCCTCTGAAAATAGTAGACTATGTATAAAAATGGCTGTAATTCCTGAAAAGTTCATGCTAAATTTGTTGTGCAACCCTTTAAATTAAAGCTGAAAGTCTGCACTTCCGTCACATCTTAACCGTTTGATTTTAAATCCTCTGAAGAGGCAAAAGTACAAAAATGTTGTCTTTAATTATGGAACTAACTGTATCTTTTAAAAAAGGGCCACCAGTTGTTATTATGGTCACATACTTAGTTAATCAAGTTTCAAAGTTTAGCAAAATCACACATTTAAAAATAACAACTAGGAAAAAAATAACCCGCTAACAGAAATAACAGAAACCTTGCTCGTCTCAGTTTATCCACAAAAAACACATAGATGACAACTTGAATATGCAAGAACCAAATCACATAATCCTGCTGAGTTCAGAGAATTGTTTTATTGAAGTGATGAAAGTGAATTGGAACACATGGTCAAAGCCTGCCAAAAAGACCATAAGACGTGGAGATTTGGTACTCTGTTACAGAGCAAAGCATCTTAGATCGTTGGAAGAAAGCTGTACTTTCTTAATGATGAGTTTTTCTGGGAAGGGGGTGACCCCAGCACTTCTAAATGTTAAAACACTGGTTCAGGAAACATGTCCCCGGATTTAAATCCCTTTTAAAATCATCAGTGAGATTTAAGCAAAACAGCTGCAGCACAAAAGGAAAGGAATATTAGTGAATTCAATATTAGTGAATATGAGAATATTAGGAGCAGAACACAAAAGACAGGAACGTTTGTCAGAAACTATCAGAAATGTATATTAATCATTATAGCAAAATGCACTGCTTGATCGTCACAGTATTGCACACAGTCCGTTAAACCTCGGGCATATCAGTCTGTCCAGTTAGGACTGATAGATCATTATGAATACATTTAGTGCAAATGAAAGAGGGTTTTACTTGTAGTGGCCACAGATTGTTGCTCTCTCCTTATCCCTCCTGATTGAGTTTGCTCTAGTTTTGTTTTGTGTTGGTGCCCTCTTCACTACTGGCCAACAGAGTTAATTGCATCTCCCATGACAGTCTATCAGTCATTACATGAGGACGTAGACAGAGCCGTAGAAGTGCATCAACCAGGAGGACTGGTATATGCTCCTTTGTGCCAGGAGGAACAGAAGGACCGCTGACAGAGCCCTACAGAATGACCTCCAATGGGCCGCGTATGTGCATGTTTCTGACCAAACTGTCAGAATCAGACTGCGTGAGGGCAGCATTAGTCCCAAATGTTCTTTAGAAGAACCTGTCCTCTGTGCATCTGCCAAAGAACAGCAGAACTGGTAGGACTTTTCTCTCAAAATATGACAATAGGTTCACACTGAGCAGATATGGATGGTGTGAAAGAGTCGGAAGACGCTGTGGCGAATATTATAATGCTTCCAACATCATCTGTGAAATGAATGGGGCACCAGTGATCGACCTGCCAGTTCTAGTGTTCGGCTGCGTGATGTCAGTCTGTGAACACATGCTGCACTAAAGGATGTCGATCCCTATCATCTATCACCTCCTGCTACTCCTCGCACAAAGGAGCAGATACCAGTAATGCAGCTCTCCTCCTTGTATCCATTTCCTAGTATCTCCTCCACACTCTTGAGGCTGTTCTGGGAGACACAGCAAAGCTTCTTGCAATGGTACACATGAATGGGGATGTGCTCTCCTGGACAAGCTGGACTACATGTGCAACCTGAATGAACTGCAGGTACTGTCTCATGCAAAAGTAGCAGCAAGATTACTAAGAAAAAGCAAAATTGCAGAAAAATCATTCAGAGTGTATAAAGAGAGAGTAATGGTCTGTGGCTACCACATGCAAAACCATTCCACTGTTGTGATCCTCTCCAGCACACCTGTTGTCACTTTCATCTGAACCACAGCAGGTGAAATGGATTCACAGTGATTCATGATTCCCAACTGAACAGATTGACCCTGTCGAAGTTTAATTATTTGAAGCTGTTTTGTCTTTGTTCACTACAGTATAGTGAATAAATAAATGATTCCCTTGAGTTTTATTGTTTACACCAGCAGGATAAAGGGGTTGAATAATTTTGACTGCAGTTGTAAATGTTTCAAATAGACTTCAGAGGAAGATCCTCGATCGTGGCATGACGCACAGTGTGAAATCCTCTTTACTGAATGAGACACGTAGCATTCTCCTTTCAACGTGCTGCACAAGCGCAAGAGAGAAAACAGGAATTTCTGCATTATTTTTCACAAAGAAAAAAAAGACGCCATCTGTTTCTGAGCAGTAGGACTTTGGCTGATTGATTGAGTATTGACTTAACTGTTCTGATCTCTGGCCTTCATCTCTTTAAGTCCTCAAACTCATAACATGAAAACTACTCCCTCTGATTATGCATCCTCTCACATGCTTTCAACACTCGAGCTCCAAGCCTGCGCGCATCTTTTTATGCACACTGATATATGCCAACTCTGTGACACTTGAACTTTACTCTGCCCATCACTGCTTATCCCTTTCAGCAGTCTCTCTCTCTCTCTCTGTTTTTTCCTCTCTCTCTGCTGATCCTCTCGCCGCACTTCTCATTTCCTGTTGGCCTAGGTACCTAATCTAACAAGCCCCATGTCATTACTTGATCAGCCCCTCTAAGAAGCATAAGTTGGATTTGGGACAGAGAGTGCAGCACATCTTGCTACCCCTCCCTTCAATTTTTACCATTCCCTCTCTACCTTTCATTTAAGCTCACTCTCTTTTTCATCTTTTTGTAAAAAAATAATTGAAAGAGTGGAGAGCCTGCCCCCAGACCATGCTTGTCCTTGGGTTCATGGGTAAGGGCTTTCAGTCATACGTTTTTCAGTTATTCCCATACTCTTTCTCACCTCTACCTGCAAGAATAATTATGTTTGTAGAGTCAACATGGCACTCCTTAAGCTCTAAGAAAGCTTTAAAGGAAAAGACAAATCAACCCCATTTGTAATAATGCTTATAATAGTATTTTCAAAAATTTAAAATAAAAAGACTAGATTCAAACTCTATAAATATTAATTATAAAACCACTCAATTGTCTTTATTTTAACCATTTGGAATTGTGAACCAGTGTTTTATGCTGTAATCTTTCCTGACTATTTCCATGACAAGCAGGGGTTAAAGTGGGCTGGAACAATCTGGAACAGCACGAGTAATTAAATCTGACAGACAGGTTATTGTACAGTGGTGAACAAATCTTTTCCCCTTTCCAAATTTCCTGTTTTTTTTGGTGTGTTTGTCAAACTTAAATGTTTCAGATCATCAAAGAAATGTAAATATTATACAAATATAATGCAGGTAAAGAAAAAAATGCATTTTCTACATGAAGCTTTTTATTATTTAGGCAAAAAAATAATTATCTAAATCTACATGGCCCTGTGTGAAAAAATAAGAAATAATGTAATTGAGATCTCTTAGTCTGGTAAAGTTTATAAAGCCATTTCTAAAGCTGTGGTACTACAGTGAGAGCCATTATCTACAAATGGTGAAAACATGGAACAGTACCCTAAGAGCACAAGGACGACTCATCCAAGGCTTTAAAAAGACCCCAGAACAACATCCAAAGAACTGCAGGCCTCACTTGGCTGAGTTATGGTCAGGTGTTCACGACTCTTCAGTAAGAAAGAGACTGGGCAAAAATGACCTACAAGGCCAAGTTCCAAGACGAAAACCTCTGCTGAGCAAAAGGAACATAATGGCTCAACTCAGTTTTGGGAGAAAACATCTTGATGATCCCCAAGACTTTTAGGAAGATGCTCTGTGGACTGACAAGACAAAATTTGAACATTTTGGGACATGTGTGTCCCATTACATCTAGTGTAAAAGTAACACCACATTTCAGAAAAAGCAGAAAAGGAGACTGTCGGGCCATCTGCTTCTGACCTCAAGCACACTTTGGTTCTGCAGCAGGACAATGATCCAAAAAACACCACCAGAAATGAAGCCTTCGGAGTGGCCTAGAATTCGATTCTAGCATGTGGCATGACCTTAAAAAGGTGGTTCATGCTCGAAAACTCTCCAGTGTGGCTGAATTACAACAATTCTGCAAAGATGATTCTGCCAGAATTCCTCCACAGTGCTGTAAACTCAGTTATTGCAAACGCTTGATTGCAGTTGTTGCTGCTAAGGGTGGGCCAACCAGTTATTAGGTTTAGGGGCCATTTACTTTTTCACACAGGGTCATTTTTTTCACTTAATAATAAAGGCTTTCATTTAAAAACAGGATTTTGTGTTAACTTGTGATACCTTTGTCTAATATTTACATTTGTTTGATGATCTGAAACACTCAAGTGTGACAAACAGAAAAAAAGAGGAAAATCGGGAATGGGGCAGCACTGTATATCACTATTGAATGAGTTCATTCTTCATGTGCTGCAGGCTGTGGTGGCTGCCAGGGGCAGCTTGGTGGTACTTACTCAGTAACAAGAAAAAAACTGACATCCCAAGGCCCACTTACACTTTCAACACATCCCTCTTTTTATTGTTGCTGTGATGCGTTCATGGTGCAGAAGTAAATTTGTTGTGGTACTTAGCAACTGGGTAGCTACTGAAGTAAGCATAACAGAGTAACATTTTTTTTAAATGGCAGGTAGTTTTAAATGCAACATTTTAATCAACTTAACAAATGTCACCAAACACACACAACTGTTTCCGTGCAGTTTTTCAAAAAGTGGACAGTTTCTGTATTTCCCAGGGGGAAAAATGTTAATGTGTGACACTGACAGAGAAAGAAAGGGAAGAAAGGAAAGGAAGATCAAAGGTTATTTTCAAAAGTAAACATTGCTCAGCGTGTGACATTTTTATGGACTAGTAAGTTAAAATTTATGTGTAATTTTCTGATTCATTTTAGAGTGCTTAATTAAAATTTTGGATCTATAGGTGATGTGTTGCTAAATTTTGTTTTTGTGAAATGTCTTGCAAAAACAAATTTAAGTCATTTAAATTTTAAGAATATACTGTTCAGGCTAGTGCAGGGTACACTGGTTAGTTTACAGCAATGCAGTGCGCTTGACTGGTTACAGTATAGGGCAATGTTACCAGATTACATCAAAGGTAGCAGACATCAAGGTATAAACCTTTTATACTAGCTTTATTGTATCTAGTTAGGGGGTTGGAAATCGGCCATATAGCCTGTGTAACATCTGCTTTAGATATTGTTGAATTCAGTTGGTTGCATCATCAGACAGAGCAATGAATATTAGAGTAGAAACCCAGGTCAGAAGATCACAGGTTGTACACAAGGAAAAACCTACTGGAGCTTACAAAACAATGTCTTATGTGCCCTTTTTCAAAGTGATTCTTAAGACTAAGACTTGATCTTGATGTTCCCCACCTGCCAAATCCCACTTTAACCCCTCATGACAAGGACTTTTAAACTTCCAAGCCTCATTGATATTAAGCGGAAGGGTTGACTTTGTCCTTTAAATCTTTGCAGTATGTTGTGTTAGATTTAGCTGTCATCCCATTGCAGTTTTTAACTGTGTACTATAAGATTATGTTAATTTTTTATTGTGTAGTTAAGCTATGATGTGGGTTAATAAATAAATATGAATATAGTCAATAACCCTAAATTGTATAATTTAATATGCTTTCATATTTTATTACCTATATATGAATATTTCACATGTGAAAAACATGAATATGATTTTCTTGCAGATATGGATAAAAATATCTGTAACCCTTTCAGTCACTTTTTAGCTTTCATGGTTAGCGAGTTAGCACACAGAATAACTGACTTAATCCAAGAGGACCTAAATATCACACAATAAAGTTTAAACTTTTAAAAAAAAACACAGCAAGCAATGTTTAAACCATATATTGAAAAAAATCTTATACAGTCATTGATTTAAAAAATAGTTAATGTTTGCTAGCTAGCTAGTAGCTAATTAGCTTTAGCTTGATGTGCTAGAAATTTGTTCAGCAGCTAGTTTGAAGTAACTGTAAAACTCAAAGGAATTGTTCAACTGTTTAAACTCATTAACTTGATATGTAAACTTTGTAACAATGCTATACAATTTGCAGTTTAGTGGGCTATAAATAAATGTTTATTAATAGCAAGATATAAAATTAGTAGGCTACAATACGAGTAATTAACAGTTTCTGCTGGTAATAGTTTTACTTAGCTCTATTATTATTATTACTAATATTACTGTTATTATTATTATTATGATTATGATTACATATTGTCTGTTCGCTGTAGCTTTTTACAGCATATATGCTATGTAAAAGTCTCAAGCCAACACTCATTTAAAAAAGAAAAAAAAAATATTGCCTCCAAGGAGTCAGATGTTCTAAGTTCTCCAGGCTTTATAAAGGGTTTATAAATATCCAGAATATTATAAATATATATATATATATATATATATATATATATATATATAAATATATATATATATATATATATATATTATAATTTTATAAAAAAAATAATTTTGACCACCTTTTTAGCTATTTAACACTAACCTATGACTTATTCAAGCATAAAAGAGGCACCTAAAGTCAAGGAGATTTATGGTGCAGAGTGCAAAGATGTCAGAATAAATTATGTTATTGTAAAAACCTATTTTTTTTTTGCCCTATATACTGTATCTGTTTTAATATTGTTACTGCAGCCCAAAAACTCTTGAGACACTCCTCATACTAAGGATATCATTTAAACATAGGCATGAAATTAATAGATATATGAGTGAATAAACAGGGAAAGGTGTCTTTTATGCTTCTGTTTTAGTTGTGCTTCTTACTTACTCGAAATTTTATCAGCTTATGGCTGTTTAGCCCTTTAGGTCAGAATTAATGTTATACCCTTTACTGACATCCAAACTAAACATGTTTGCTTACATTGCTGTGCTAACTAATCCTGCATTCGATGGGCACATATGCCATGTGAGGTAGCTGACTATACTATTAGCTGCAAAGTCTGCCAGTTTCCATGAGTCACATGTCATGTGTCAAGGCTTTGACAAATGCTGCTCATTGACCTTGCAGTGATGGCAGCATAACATGAGTAATGGTCCCATCTTGACATGAAGTCGCACTTACTGTAACATCAGATCCCTGCAGCTCTGTTGCCACGGGGATCTGTGATCACTGTGCAGGCTTGAAATCGCTCCAAACGAGTCAGCTGATACGCGGCTAATCTGTCACAATTAGGTTGGGGCCTTCACAGCTGTTTTTTAGGCCCAGGGATTAAATAATCACAGCAGGACAGGTGCATATCACCCTTATCCACAACTGTTTTTCTTGGGTTTATTTTGATTTCTCACGCATAATGTTAACACGCTGGTCTTAAGCTTAATAAGCATAGGCATAATTTATTTCTACTTTTGATTTCAATGTTTTTTTAAGACCTAGAGGGGCAGGATATATGTCAGCAGCTTCTTCTTCTTCTGTATTTATTGAAAACACAACAGATTTAGAAATTATTACATCTGCCTACCTTAGCCCTCCTTGTAGTAGTGAAACAGGAGAGATAAAACAAAGCTCAGTCCAGCCTTTGCCCAACCAAAACTTTGGGATTAGAGCAGTTTGGGAATAATTATTAAAGATTTTGCTCACACCTTTCCACTAAATCTACTTCTTTTGCCCTTTGTGACTGACTCAATGCTTTACAGTCACTTTTTCAGGGGAGGGTTTCCAGTAAAATCAAACACACCTACTCTCAGTTGCCGCCATGAATCAAAATGAGATCAGATGAAGGCGTGCTGCGATATGACGTCTCAGATTGGATTTCAGAGGATTTGCTGTGATAAATCCAGCATGAAGCTTGTTTATTTTTCGACAGCCTATGTCTGCAACATAGTATTTTAAGATCAGATGTGCTTAGAGGAACAGATTGTGAGACTGATGCACATGCTCTCACTGCATGTGTGAGAAAATATGAAAACAAAAACTCATGTCCAGCATCAACAGACTAGTGTTGTTAGATTGCAGCAATGTAACATTTCTTTTCCTCCACTAAGTAATGGAAACCAGCCAATAATGGCCAGCCAATAATTATATTCTGTATTAACACAGCAATGATATGTTGAATACATTAGTCTTAGCATGATATAAAAAAACAACAAAAATAAATAAAGTGATACTAACATAATACTTGTGATACTCATAGAAAGAATCCCATGTTTAAGTTTAAAAGAGAAAACTAAGTTGCAAACGAACAAACTTTTTATTTTTAATAAATATAAATCCAGTTATAGTCAATTGTAATTGTGTATATATAGTAAGTCTGTTACTTCGTACTGTAGTAAGTTCATGTGTTTAGTTCCCTTGACGTTTTTCTTCTTCCTGGCTCAGATCACATAAATATGTCATTGTGAAGAGTGTGTAACTACAGTTGTTTTTTTCAGATGAGAGACACGGTACGCTCAGGCTGAGCAACCTCACTAAAAGCATGTCAGGGAAGTACATCTGTCGAGCCAGCAACACCGCCGGCTCCGACAGCTGCTCCATTAACCTGGAGGTTTTCACCTGTATGTACACAGCATGAACTCTGCTTTTATTCTCCTTCACCCCAGAGTATTTAAAAGTTTGTTTGGGAAATCACCACTCCATCTTTGTTACGTTTCTCAGCTTCCAACGCAGGTGTGATTACAGCAGCTACTCTGGGGTCAGTGGTGGGACTGGTGGCCATGGTGCTGTTTCTCATATTCATACTGAGGAGGAGAGGGGACACAGAGGAGGAGATAGCCAATGAAATCAAGTGAGTTTCACTGTAGAGTGGGCACTTTGTCACATTAAATCCTCTTTTATGCCTCTACAACATCATAGTGACGCCATAGGTGGCTTATTATATTCTAATAAAAACATCATTAAACAAATTGCTGATGAGTTTAATATGTTATTCCCTCGTTTTAGGACATGTTGAATAGTAAAATTATGTCAGTTTTGTAAATTTTGGTCATTCCATGTAATCCAAAAGGAGGATTATCCTGGATTTTCTCATTGGTTAATCACTTGTGATCAACAAGTCATTGGCCAATAAGCATCCAGTTTCCCTTCTCCAGTTTAAAAACACCAAATAAAGGTTAAAATGCTCATCTCATGTCTTCAAACAGAAGTTTACCATTAAAAGGCTTATATCACCGGAGCTAAGGCTTTATACAGTCTGTGTACATCATGTATTTCTTGACAGCTGTCAGAAATGTGGAGTAGTGAGATGTAATTTCTGTGTCCAAAAAATGATGATGATACAAATGGAAAGTAGAGTGTGTCGTCTCTGAGCACGACGTGACAGTAAAGTCATCCTATTCATCCTAAAGAGGCCATTTGGAGTCGAAGAGGGTAAATCCTGTTTTTTCTCATTATTTTGAATCCAGTTGTTTGGAGCAGGGCTTTAAATTGACTTTTGCTCAGTGTGAAATGTGCAGTGTTGCACATCATCCAACCAGAACCCCTGCACTAAGATATGGTAAGCGCCATAATGTGTGCCTTCCACCTCACGGTGTAATGTACCCACAAATTTTCCAAAAAAAACAAACAAGCCTTCTGCTTCTAAGAGTCCGTTTACAGTAATGCAACGCTGTGCTTCAGCAAGTATGTGTTATCTGTGTTTTCATGCTATCCTAGTTTTTGTGCATTTTTGAACATTTAACCTTTGTAACTGATACTGTGTAAGTAGAGCATCGTTTACACTAAATCAGTAGTTTACAAGCGCTTGAATGTTAGGAGATCACGTGAGTATAAAATACTGTCACTCAATGTGTTTTGTTGACAGTATTGCAGCTGCAGTGTCCGTTATCGTTTTACTTGAAGCACTTCACTTCTGTTTTGTTTTCTGTCTCCTTTTTAATGATTTTTCTTTCACCCTCTTTCCTTGCTTTTTACCGCAGGGAGGACGCTCAGGCACCAAAGCGAGTGTCATGGGCAAAGAGCAACACAGGCTCAGATGGTATGTCCAAGAATGGCACGTTATCTTCCATAGCCACCAGCCCTCAACCACGAGACCCCCATCAGCCCAACTTCCACTATCCGTACTCCCCGATATCAGCTTCAGACGCGAGCTCAGTGATCAACGCCTACCAGCTGCGCCCTGGAGAAGCCAATACCTTACAAGGGCTTCCTGGCTACAACATCGGAGGCACGCCGTCGCGTAAACATAGGCGGCCTCCGAGTGCAAACGGGGCTCCTTCGCAGGTTCTCAGGAGCCCTGCGGTCACCAACCCCAAAAGAACTGAGGGGGCGCAGCCTCAGATGGCACCTCCACTCACTGTGTCCCCACAAGTTAGTTCCTCCACTCTGACACGCATGGGAGCTGTTGCTGTCATGGTGCCTGCTCAAAGCCAGGCTGGATCACTGGTGTAACGGCGTGGGAAGCAAAGGACAGAGAATCCCTCGCAGTGAAGCGCCCTTTCTCGGTGAAGGCCTGATAGGTTGAGAGAGAAGGAAAAACACGTGCTTCACTGGAACAAACTCTTCCTTCGGTTTGTTGACGAACCAGTGCAGCGTTCTTCATTTCAGTTTTCTTTTAAATGCTGCGATCAGGCTCATTAAAGAGAAATATATTTTTATTTCCATGCTTAGAACGAAAAGAAGTGTTGATTTTATGTAGCAGCATACAGTGATATTGTAAACCGTAGCAAGCAGGATGGTTTACTTGCGATTGTCGTGCAATGTTTTGGCTACATTTCTATGATTTCTACAACTTCATTGTAAAGAGATTTTTCTAATTTCATTTTTATGTTATTTTACCTGGATGTGTAAAGTTCACTTTTCTCAGGCTAACTGCACTCGTTCAGAGCAAAAACACACAATTCAGACACTGAAAATAGTTTCTAGAGTTTCACATTTCTGGCCCACATTCATGTTCACATCAAGAAACAGTTTCAGTGTGGGTTGAAGACTGATAAGGACTCAAAACTTGATGATTTTGCTTGTTATGGTAGCTGGAATGTAACCAAAGTAGTGAGTATAAGTGTTAAAGGCAATGGTTTCTGACTATTTTGCTTAAAATTGTTGAGTATAACAAGATTACTGCAAACATATGGCAGAGCCAGTAGTGGAGACCGCTCAAGAAAGCGTCCATCCTCGATATCTGACCAATGTTTTCTGCTTGTTTGTTTTCATGATTTCAATTACACTGAACTCTGGAGATAACGATGCAATGATGTTCTGACGTTGAAATACTACATGTAGCACTTTTAATGCAGTTCTGACTGTTGATGGAATTTTGTTTTTCAATAAAATATTCTGCAGTATTTGACTAAATATTGATCAGTTCCATATTTAATGGAAACAAAAACCTAAAGGTGCTAAACTGCAAATGAAGTCCAATTTAAGAAAGCTTTATTTGGAGTGTAACATTTTATTATATAACCTTCACAGCACCTGTGACATATTTCTGTAATTCTGCAAAAAGCAAAGAAAAGGATGAAATACAGTAAAATTGCAATAACCATGAATATACATAAGGATTGAAAGACCACTTTAGGCACAGTGATGCTGGGATTTTATGAACTGTTACTTTTTCTTATTACTTTTTCCTCTGTCATCTCTCCGTCGCTGGTGGATGAGTTTAATTACCTGGGGTAAACCCTTCAAAGCAACAGACGGAGTGCCAGCAGGGTGGAGCAGTTGGAGACGAGTGTCAAGGGTGATTTGTGACAGAAGGATTGAAAAAACTACACTGAAGTTGGTTGTGCTAACTTACATTACATCTGATGTGGCGTACACATTCAAACATGAAGTCTAAAGGGTTTATTTACGACAATGATGCTGATTTGCGAGGGTTATTAGATGGAGGGTTGGTGGATGAACATACACTCAAGTGAGGAAACATTCATTGAAACTATGATGTGCAGGGCAGCACCAGTCATACTGTAACAAACCAGATATGAAGACCATAACAACATGGTCAGTTTAAATCCAGAGGACGAGCTTTATCACGACTCCGACAGCAGATTTCGGGAAATGATCATCCTCATCACTTCATTGGTTCCTTTAAGGGAAACAAAAGCAGGAAACAGCTGGTGAAAAACAGCATCACAGTTGCCTTACATGAAACCAAAGGAGCCACACTAAAATATGACAAAAGACAAACAAAAAGGCTAAAGAGAGAGAAAAAACCTCACCTTCTAGGATCTGGTGGACTCTGATGTCCCGGACAAACTGCTGCACTGCGTAGTCTTTAAGGTAACCGTACCCACCGTGCATCTGAAGAGCCTGGTTGCAGATCTGTTGAATACAAGCAGGAAAAAACATAAAAGATCACTTAATATAGTTAATTTCATGCTTTTTAGCCAAATACTGTTAATCCTCCTTAGCACTGCTCACATTAAAGCACTCGTCTGTGGCAAAGAGCTTGGCCATGGAGCAGATGGCAACAGCATCGGGGCGGTCCTCCTGCAACGCCTGCGCTGCTTCACGTATCAAAAGGCGAGACGCAACCAACTTGGTGGCCATTTCTGCCAGTTTGAACTGAAGAAACTACCATATGAAAAGAGAGGGGGGGGGGGGGGGGGGGGGGCGGGAGGTGGGTGGGGGGGGCGCGTGAATAACAGTGGCAGGACAAGTTCACTGAGCTTTCACTGAATAAACTGAAAACAGGGGAACCTGCTTACCTGGTTGTTTGAGAGTGTTTCTCCAAACTGCTTGCGCACTAACAGGTGATCCCTCGCCAGCTGCACAGAAGCATGCGCCGCCCCAAGAGAACAGGAAGCTGGCGGCAGAGTATTTAGAGGAAAACCAGTGAGTAAGTTGTTTGGCTTTGTTTTAAACGCCTTCATGTCAATGCCAAATACTGTGTGACCACAAATACTGACGGTTTGAGCTGAGTTATTACTGAGCAAACCACTGCTACTGGTCATAACCAAGGGCATGCTCATTTATAAAAGTGTGTTAATCCAAATCTACTGAAACCATTCGTCATGCCTTAACCAACTCAAGGTTTCTTTAAGAGCACGCTGCACGCAATTTATGCACAAATCTGTTTCCCCCGAAGCTCGTTGAAGCCCAATTATGATGCTGATTACATACTGTTACTTCTAGCTTTAAAAAATATATAAATTTTCATTGGATTGTAAGTATAAAAGGCAGTTTTTGGATGCTTGGCTACTCGGGTGGTATTTTCCTCCTTACCAATATTAATCCTGCCTCCATTCAGGCCTTTCATTGCGAAGTTGAAGCCCTGTCCTTCCTCACCGAGCCGGTTCGCCACTGGAACCGCACAGTCCTCAAATATCACGGCCCTGGTCGGCTGAGAGTTCCAGCCCACCTGGAGGACAGATTGTTTTTAACAGCTGATTGGCTCAATTCTGCCATCTAGTGGTTGAACACCAAAGTGGCGCAACTGTGGAGTCGTACTTTTTTTTCTTTTTTGCCAAAACTGAGGCCGGGGGTTCCCTTCTCCACCACCAGACATGAGATACCTTTAGGTCCTTTACCTCCAGTTCTGCACATCACGACGTAGACATCTGTGTCTCCTCCTCCACTGATGAAGGCCTAAAAAGTGCCGAAGAAATTAGAGGAGCTTGCATTTCTACAGACCTTAAATGACATGAGCGTACAGACAGGTCTGAGTTACCTTTGAGCCATTCAAGACGTAATGGTCGCCTTTCCGCTGAGCAGAGGTCAGAAGAGAAGCAGCATCGCTGCCGCTGCCTAAAACAAAGATCGCAGGTTGAACTTTAACTAAAGTGCTCACATGTGTGGAAGAACAACATACATGTGAAACGAATTTCTCACATAGACAGCTGTGAATAATTTTACACAAAGAACTCTGCTGTCTTTTCGCATGCAGACTCACCTGGTTCAGTGAGACAATAGGAGGCAAACTTCTCCATAGAACAGAGATCAGGACAAAACTTTTCCCTTTGCTCTTTATTGCCATAGCTGTCTATCATCCAGGCACACATGCTGCAAAGATAAGGAGGACAGAGGAGATTAACATGCAAATAAATAAATAACATACACTCTCTGGCCACTTTGTTAGGCATACCACTTCAACTGTTTGTTAACACAAATATCTGATCAGCCAATCACATGACAGCAACTCAGTGCATTTAGACATGAAGACACAGTCGAGTCGACCCAGTGATGTTCAAACTGAGCATCAGATTGGAAGAAATGTGATTTAATGATGGTGTTGGTAGAATACGTGCTGGTCTGAGTACACAGAGTACCACTCCTGTCAGCTAAGTACAGCAAACTGAGGCTAGGATTCGCACGAGTTCACCAAAATTGGATACTAGAGATATGTTGCCTGGTCTGTTGAGTCTCGATTTCAGCTTCAACATTTGACATGAACAACATGAAAGCATGGATCCATCCTGCCTTGTATTAACAGTTCAGCCTGCTGAAGTACCAATTATTTAAATGCTAAAGTGAACCTGAGTATTGTTACCGACCACGTTCATCCCTTTATGGCCACAGTGTACCCATCTTCCTGTATGTATAATCCAGACAAACTGACACCTGCTGTAAATATGGCGTCTTTTAAAAATGCTCCCAACCAAAATAATCTTATTATTCATACTTGTGGATGCTGATGTAGGCTGTGGTGCTCACACATCCCGTGGACAAAGCCTCAAAGATGATCGACGTGTCCAGCCGAGAAAGGCCAGATCCTCCGACATCTGGCTGAACGTAAATCCCACCGAAACCCAGCTGGGCCGCTTTACGCATGGTCTCCACTGGAAAGATTTCCTGAGTGGGGAAGAAACATCTAACCATTAGCACACCCAGCCTAGTGCTGTTACTAGTTACTTATTGCCTAATACTTATTTTTACTTTTTTTTTCTCCTGATCAGGACTTTGGATTGATACAAAAGATTGCCTTTATATGAGCATACATGGTTTTGAACCCCTCACATCTGTTGCTTTCACGTTTGATTAATAACAGTGTTTTAAGCCTCCTAGCTCATACCTTTTGGTCCCACTCTGCCATGTGTGGGGCCATTTCATTGGCTGCAAAGTCAAAGGCCACTTTTTGAAACTCCTTCTGTTCATCTGTGAGTCCGTGGGAAGCTGCAGACAAAGAGCGGAGGACATTAAATACAGAAACTGCTCTGTGTGCTTTTAACCATTACATACTGTTCATATTTCATGTCTTCACAGTCTGGCTCAGGTCACGTTTAACCCAGGCTAAGAATTCCCTCATAAGTGTCTACAGCATATTGTTAAACAGAGATTAATTTAGAGTATATAAATAGTCACCTTTTTTACTCACTATGTATTTATAAACCTATATTAATCTCTAGCTCTCTTCCACAGTCTTTGTCCTGTCTTTGTCCCTCAACCCCAGCCAGCTGTGGCAGATGGACGCCCCTCCCCGAGTCTGGTTCTGCTGGAGGTTTCGTCCTCCTTCTAGTTTTTCCTTCCTAGTGCTGCCAAAGCGCTTGCTCACAAGAGGTCATATGAGTGCTGGGTTTTTTCTGTTTTCTTTGTATTATTGTAGGATCCTTACCCTACAATACAAAGTGCCTTGAGGCAAATGGTGTTGTGATATGGTGCTATATAAATAAAATAGAATTGAACTGAACTGAAAAACATCTAATATCATATAGTATTATGTCCTGTTATACCTAACACATTACAACATAACAGCCACGATGATTTAAATAACATCTAGGTGTTGAATAATCCGAAAGAGAGGGGCGGTGCTAAGGAGAGGCGTGCAGCTTTCTCTGCCTTCCGACTGGAACTGAGAGCTAACAAACCAACCAATGACAGTCGGATGCGATAAATAAGTAAATAAAAGCGCTGAATATGTGTAGCATAAGCTTCTTTTTTTTTAAATCTTAATCAGCAGTCACGTTTGTTTGCTACAAAGCTGTGTGACTACTTAACATATCGCTGGTTCATTTCATTGCTTCAGGTCCAATGAGGTAAATGAAAGAAACAGAGTTTTTAGAGCTACTTGTATTACTTAAAGCTAGTAGATCTCGTTTTCTGGTACTTACGGTCGATGCATGCGGCTATTCCTCTTTTCTGTGAGTTTCCGCTTAATGTTACACGATTTTTACATATTCTGGAGCCCAGCCGGGCTATTCTCGACAGAGCTCCTACAGCAGCCATGTTTACCTCTACAGTGGTGAGTCACTCGGCAGCGGGACTGCTGGTTATTGTAGTTTGTAGTCGCACTTCCGGCTTGTATTACGCATTTAAAGGTGCCATATTGAAACGGGGTTCGTTTCAATTAAACGAAATGTTGAAAGTAAATATTTTAAACATTTATACATGTTTAGAAATTTTACTTTGATTCGTTAAATCACATGAAGTAATTAATTTATGCTAGATAACACAAGTGAGTATTGATATTATGCTTATGAAAAAGTTTTTGAACTAACACGGTATTTATTTGCTGTTATTTATTCAGATGTATGACATGACCAGTTTGATTATTACACTACAGTGTAGGGTCCATAACATTATTTTTTAATTGTATATCTTTTTAAATAATGATATTTAAAATGTGAAATGTAAATGATGGAAGCTTGTGTCTACCACTGATTTATTTTTTATTTTTTTTCTTTTGTTAACGTATTCACTTATTTTGCCATCTGTAAGTGAATATTTCAGGTTCACATCTCAGAGTTCAACTTGAGAAGTTAATATTTTGTCTTAATAAATCAATAACATCTCAAGTTAATCAAAAAATTTTACAATTTACACTCTGCCTGGCAAAACTTATTTTGGAAACAAGCTTCCATAAAATTGTGAAGCTTGCATAAATGAATAAATGTATATAGCTTTGAGAATCCTTTTAACCTTTATACATTAATACCAACAATTCTGTAGGCTTTAACACATAACATAACACTTTGTAACCTCATATTTACTTTCTTTATCACATATTCTCAGACTATTTATTTTATTTTGGATTCACTTTAGTCGTTTCCATGTGTATCCTGTACACACTGAAAACTTACAATAAAGTTGACTTTGACTTAACTTACACCCTGTTTATTTGTAGGTTATAATAATAATAATATATTATTATTATTATTATTATTATCAATAATAATAATAATAATAATAATAATAATAATAATAATAAAGGGGTGTTATTGTCATAAAAACTGAAGTAAACAGGCAAACGAAAAATAAATAGACAATAAAATCCGATTAATTTAATTCCTAATAAACCAAAAGGCCTGAAAATAGTCACGTGTTCCCCGTACCAATATGGCGGCAGTGCTTCTACAGCGGACACACGGCAGTGGCTGGAGAATAAATCGAGTGCACCGATACGGTTTTTAGGTCACGTGTTGCAGGTTTTTCCGCGGGATTGATGGCTGGAGCTGTGCGGAGCTGAAGGTACGACTCCATGACTGATTATTACCGAGTTTATCTCCGGACAGTACGTTACGTCTAGTTTGCACGCATTCCTGATGCTTCTGTGTTTCTGCTGCTTGTTAGTGTCTGAGCAGTTTACACATGTAAATAAGAGCACTTATTCAGAAAACATTTAATAATACCAGCATTAATATTGTTAACTAGTGCAGTGTATGTTTTTCTTTAGTTGCAGCAAGCACTTGAGTCACACCAAATATTTGTAACACTTAAACTCCCGGTGTTTCTAAGGTGTTTCTAACCTTCAGTCTGCCACTACTGATGTAAACTGTGGTTATTAAAATATATGTTAGTAACACTTCTCAAATTAAAGCTTCCTACATGAAGAAGATAATCACGGCTCATTGGAAGACTACTGTGCTTACCAACATTAGTTGCGGCTGGACGCAACTACCGGTAAATAAAGCCAAATTTATGTGATCTTGGACTCATTTTGAATGATTTTTAGAGTAGTCCGTTTGGGATTACATAAAGAGACAAGACACTGACCCACCCTAATGTTCTTCAGTTAACAACACTTTGTATGAACTTTAGAAAAGTATAAATGGATATAAATATAAGGGATGGAAATCATTAGTGGATAAAAGGAAAAAAAAATGCTGATTGTCTGAGTTCTTGGTGGGAGAGCTACCAGAGTACAAGTTATACCTAAAACTTCTTGTGTTTTTGCCCTCACAAGCTTTACAGAAACAAACCATCCAAACCTTTTGTGGATCTTTACAGAGTCAAAGAGATGCCACCAAAGAAAAAGGCCAGAGTCAGTAAAAGGAATACAGGTTCAGGTAGGTAAATCAAATCACAGAAGAAAATCACCTGTCTGATATTAGAAGGTTAGTACACTCATCCTGGGCATGAATCTCAGAGTAATTTCAGGATTTCTAATGATTTTCCAGGGTAGAATATTTTATAGCTACATCTTTAATTAATTAACCAAAGCCATTAGGTGCACAAGTGTGAATTTATTTTGAATTTAGTCTCAATTTTATATAATGAGTCAAGTGCATTCAAACACCCCCACTAATATTTGGTTGACTGTCCTTTAGCAAGCTGCACGTCAACCGCACACTTTGGGTAGGCATCAACAAACTTCATGCATAATTCTGGCTGCATGTTTGACCACTCTTTTTTGCAGAAGGGTTCATTCAAATAGTCCAAAAATGTTCAATAGGGTTTAGGTTGGGGCTTTGGGAAGGCCATCCCAGAAGCTTAATGTTAACCTGCTTTATCCATTACAAAACCAGATTTCACATGTGTTTGGCATCATTGTCTGATTGAAACACTCAATTGTGTCCAGGTTGATTTGAGGTGAAGTTGAACAATTTGGACATAGTTCTCCTCCTTCATTATTCCATCTACTTTGTGCCCATGATGCTACCACCACCATGCTTGACAGTTAGTCCATGGCACTGTAAAACTAACTTCACTGTAGACAGTTTTCCTGTTGTTCCATTAGTTTCCCGTTCATGCTAGGCTTGAACCTTTTTGGTCCTTTAGTTGTTCCTGAACATCTGAACCAATTTCTGCTCATGCGAGGGTGACAGTGTGGGTCTTCTTCTAGAACCCAGGAAAGTTGTGTTTGCACTGATTATTTTGGAATCTGCATTTCTAAGAGACATTCCCAACTTGTGTTAATCTACAATTCTATTTATTAGATGTTTACTAAGTTCCTTCGATTTTTCCATTGTTCTGAGTATTGGTCAATCCAATGGGTGCTGCCAAAGAAATAACAACATTGCAGAACCTCCAGTGCCGCTTATTATTATAACTTAAGCGCTTGTTCTTGTTTTTTAAAGTCATCACAGATTTATGCTGTACAATCACTCCACCCTGGAAAAAGAACGGTTCAAAGAAATCATTAAAAACACCAAATTATTGTGACATTCAACCCCTCGAAGAGTGCGTGTAAACACAGTTTTAACTAAAGAGTGCTTCCAAACCACAGGCAAAGATGATGACAGGGAGCCAGTGTCCCCAGCTTTGAAGAAGAGGAAAGCTGCAACTTCTGGTGGAAAAACTGACGAGAGCTCGGCGTCTTCTGGTTCTCCACAGTACAGTCGCTGGCTGATGAAGTCTGAGCCCGAGAGCCGCTTTGAGAATGGCATCGACGTAAAGGTATGGAGCAGCACCAGCTTTGTCAGCGCATTTTAAAGTGTGAGCTGGTCTCACTTGTCTGATGCTTCCTGTTCACTCTGCAGTTTGGCATCGAGGACCTGAAGGCTCTGCCTGATCAGACCAGCTGCTGGGATGGCGTTCGTAATTATCAGGTAGAGTTGCAGCACAGAGTCCTGCAAAAAGAAGATGTTTATCTGAAAAAGGGAGCAATGCGCTGCTACTCCTGAAAGGGCTTTTCTGTCTCTGCTCACTGCTCACTCTGCCCAAATTATTTTTGAATTTGCTATGCTTATCTTCTGCAGGCACGCAATTTCATGAGGCAGATGAAAGAGGGGCAGCTGGCTTTCTTTTACCACAGCAACTGCAAGGAGCCGGGGATAGCAGGACTCATGAAAGTGAGTCGCTCTTCTATATTTAGGTAAAGCTCGAGACGGGCCCGATGTTCAGCTTCATTTCCTCTTTCTAGGTTGTGAAGGAAGCTTATGTGGACCACACTCAGTTTGACAGGAAAGATGTGCATTATGATGCAACCAGCAAACCAGACGACCCCAAGTGGAGCATGGTAAGCTGAACGCATTAAGCTCAGTTAATGATAAGACTCGAGCGTGAAGGCTGAGCTCGTTCTCTTCTCCCTCAGGTAGACGTCCAGTATCAAAGGATGATGAAGCGTTTTCTTCCTCTGTCGGAGCTTAAAAAGCACCACCTGCAGCATCGCGCTAAGGGGGGGCCCCTCAAGGACATGGCGCTTTTTACAAGGGCTAGGCTCTCTGTGCAGCCTCTCAACACCGGTATGACAGAAGCGGAAAGAAAAAAGTAAACAAATAAAAAGAGAAATAGCTGTGAACACTGTTTCTTTCTTCACAGAGGAGTTTGACTTCATCTTGAGTCTGGAGGACAAAGAGCCACTGTAAGGATTGACTTCACAATGCAGCAAAATCATCACAAGTACCATTGCTTCACTGTAACTGTTAACGTTTATTAAAGATATTAAATATTTTTATTAGACATCATAGTCCAGATTCAATCTGTGAAAACACAAACATGTGGTCATGGCTTGAGTTTCTTGGAACTGGATGGAAAGCAGTGCCTCTTTTATAAAGTATAAACAGAAGCAGCATTAATTATGGCTGGCCTTTGCTCTCAGAGTAGCGTCAAGCATCATTTTATTGACGTTATTTAATTCATAATTTATAAACGGCAGCATATTTTACGACTCCTGATACCCTTTCAACGCTTGTTTTATCACATGGGAATAACTTGACATTGTGTGCTCAACTGCTGCCCGGTGATGACAGAGTGAGTGGGAAAATAAAACCCGCAAACAGCCTATGTGCCATGGCCTTCCAGGTATTTGCTTAATTGCAAAAAAAACCCAAAACAACAACAACAACATGCAAAGGGCTCTTGGTAAATTTTCCTTTCTGTAGACTGTGGGGGACCCACATTAAATTTATTTAATGTGCTGAATGCTGAAAAGTACCTTATATAACCTCTGATGAGATGCTGGTTTGGAAGTATTAATGCTGTTGCTGCAGCCCGATACCACAACAACAACTCCTGTATTATATCTGTCAGAGTCAGTCAGATGGTGTAGCACCATTTATCTCCTAACTGACA